TCAAGCATTCATAAGCAAGCAATTTCAATGTTGTACTCCTAGACAAGGTATCTAAAAGGAACCAACTTGGTGTCAGTAAGCAGTTCGTATTCAACAAGATTGAAGTGTCAAACCCACTTGTGATGGCGAATTCTTCAACCATGAGCATAAAGATCAGAACCATTCTAGCCTAAGAGATATACTAATCAAGCAATCATTATCTCACTCAGGCAATAATTCAGATCAACTTATCAATCTTGTGAACCAATAAGGTTCTAGTTAGCTAAACACCAATCAAGAATATGGACTTAAGCACACTGCTGCAACATCCTAACAATGCTAAGCAATGAGCAGGAATGAAACAAAGGCAAGATCTTTCAATTCATACTATCTAACCATCAAGCAAGAATCTCAAAACCAGCACTATCTAGCCCTAAGCGAATCATCTAGCAATGGTGAACTATCACTTTGGTGTCACTGAACAAAGGAAACATAGACCAAGCCAAACTATCAAGCCAAATAAGCGAACAATGCTTAGAGATGAGACAACAAGCCATCTAGTGAACCATATGCATCAATCAATACCATATTCAATCAAATGGAGCAAACTTTAAGAACAATAATCACTTTGCAAGAGAAGGAGACAATAGAGAACAATTAAATAAGCCTAATCACCCCTTAATCACATCTTAATCACCATGTTCCCTACTTAGAATCCTAAATCTAAGGTAGACTACTCACTAATCATGTTTAATCCCATTTGTTTAGAGTTAAACATGACTAGATGAGATTAAAATGCAAAGATGACAAATCTAAACTACCAAGGTGCTAGAATAATGATCAAGAGACAACATTAAACCATAAAAATGCAAACTTTATTAAAAATAAAGATTCTAAGGCAAATCGCCCTTTTGGGTTTAGAGAAGAAAGATTTTTTTGATGAAAGACTAAAATTGGATAAAGATAATGTTTTGTGGCTTCACTTTAATAGTAGGAAACCAAAAGAAGCATAAAAAACCTAAAAATAAGATAAGGTCAACAAAAGTCAAATGGTCAATGCACGGATGAGTTGCATAGAGGTGCTACGGATGGTGTTCTGCTCGATATGCGACCTCGATATGGCTCGTGCAGCGCTCATCGGCTTCCTTGCTCGATGCTGGACCTTGATGCAGACCAACGGCTTAGACTCCTCGTGCTGGTCCTCTTGCTCACGTCATGCTGCTTACATCAAGCATACTCCACAGGTGTTCTGCTCGATATGCTTGCTCGATATGGACCAGACTTTACAAATGCTCCAATTCTGACATCTTCTTCGATCATGAGCTGCTTTCATCTCTTTCCCAACTCCAAGAATCTCCAAATTCACTTGAAAACCACCACAAACATGCATATGTATGCAAATATATGCAATCCTAAGCTACATGCATGCCATGTTGATTCTAAGTGCAAATAATACCAAAATGTTAAACTATAATGCAAAAACAAAGGAAAAGATACATGAAATGCAGCCTAAAATGCTCTAAAATAGCAAGATATCATTACTCGATGTAGATCACTGGTTGCTCCTGGTAAGTTACATCGGGCTTGGAGGTCGATATGCTGCCCGATGTAAGTGTCATGTCTCTCGGATATCAGGTATCATGGTCGAAATTAATCCTAATATGAATCTTCTCCTTCTCGACTGGTGGATATCGAGCTTTATGCCTGATGTGGCACCCGATATCAGCTCCGGAAAAGTGCTCCCTTGGCTTTCTTTAGCTGCGGCATTTTCTTAGATCACTCCCATTCTTCCACAATGTCTCCAACAACTCTTTTGGTACCTAAACACATTCCAAATGCAAGAAAAATGGATTAGATGTTTATAGTCTTACAAATTTACACCATTTAGAACTTATTTAGACAAATGCATGTTCTTTTGAACAATAAAAGTGATACAGGGCAGTAAGAAGTGGCAAATTTTGTCTACAATGACTTCCATCAAAATATAAAAAGTGTTTGAATCAAGTAGCTTAACAGGTCTTAATATTTTTGGATCCATTTTCCAAGAGCGAAGCTTGTTCAGACACATGTATGTAGTAACTGTTTGTTTCTGCTCCACGATGTTTCGTGTCATTATGCTTACAATTTCATGCTCAAAAGAAAAAACAATGAAATTGACTTAGAAAAGACACAAAACATCGTGGACCAGAAACAAACAGTTACCACATTCATATGTGACATCCCTGACTTATCAAATAGGGCCAGTTTTTCTTTAAAGTTTTAGATTAGTTAAATTAAGTTAGATTATGTTAAACCCATCCCATTTGATTCAAAGGCCCAATCTTATTCTTTAAGAAAACCCTAAACCTAACCCCCCTTCCCCTATATAAGAAGCTCTTGGTGATGGAAAGAAGCAGATAGAGATCACCACGGCAAAGCCCTGCCAAAATCGAGCCTCAGCCAGCCACCTTGGAGGAGGAGCAATCAAAAAGCCAAAGGAAGCAGCTCCGACCCATTTTCATGCAGTAGAGAAAGGCGGTCCAGATCAGATTTGTTTGGCACGAAACTTTGAGGGTAAGTTCTAGACTCACAGATCTACCTTTAGAAGAAATAGGTTCATCATTTGGATTTGTATACTGAGAATTATGCGTCTTTTCCCGAGGCTGATGTATTGTAGATCGAATATCCGAGCCGCCATCTTTCGGGGCAGATTCCTGTCGACTCCGATCGATCTAGATCACGATCTCGGTGTTGTTGGAAAGAGGATCCTCCTAGCTATCCAGAGCCTCTTCAATCGACCAATTTGAAGGTATACTCCATGTCTCGTCGTTTTATTCCGAGCGGATCTTGCTGTTGATTTCCAGAAATCTGTCTTTTCCTCAGTTTCATAGCAGAAGTTGCGAGCCGTTTTCCTGACGAAGTAGATCGATCCTGCCGCCGTCGAGCATACCATTGGAAAGCTCATCCAGCCACCTTGCCGCCGCCGTTTCCAGACTCTCAAACCGAGGTAAAACGCCAGAGTTATTACAATTGCTTTTTGGCCAAGAAACCACCTAATCTGTTAATCTGAAAACGCTAGATCTGAGGTTCCTTGTTGGGCAAGATGAAAAGAGAAATCCTAATCCGAAAATCCTAGTTTTATTTAGGAATTTCTTCTTTTACAATATTCTAATTTGGCAAAGTTCCATTTTTGGAAACTTTCTATTTTTAGAAAGTTTTTATTTTTGGAAAATTCCATTTTAGAAAAGTTATATTTTAGGAAAGTTCTAATTCCCGAGCCTATCTATTGCAGTTTCCGTCCGTCAACAGCAGTAACCATTTCTTCTGACCTCCATTTTTAACTGAAAGCAAAGGGGAGGATTGGTTTATGATTCCTAATGATGCATTAGTTGAATTAGTAATATTTATATGCTTGATATAAGGATTAGATGTGCTTGATGGTTGATGCTGATGTTGATGCTGGTGATTGAGTATTGACGATTGATTATTAATTAAGAGATATAATATGAATCTTTGATTGTACCGCTGACTGTAGTGTCAGTGTTGTTTGACAGCCTACAACGAGGGACAATTGTGAAGTTGTAGTGATCGAGAAAGGGCTGACGAGCCGTTGTCAAACCCTGTAATGGGCGGTGGCACCTTGTTATATGTCAAACCCGGAATGGGCGGTGGCAAAGATTGAGTATCTTGGAAGGTTGATCATTGGGAATGTGTTATAGATTTGATAGGATGTTTGATTTGATTTATATATTTAAATGTTGAGATGATTTGATTTCTATGTGAAATTGCTAAATATTCTATGTAGGTTTATTGCTTGTGTTTAATTTCTGTATTTAGTATACTTATATTATTATTTCAAATGGTGTTTCCAAAGGATCTCGTAGGCTTTTTAGCGCGTCCCTAACATAGTATTCCTGGAATACTCATCCCTCTTTCCCCTTTCAGGTGTGTGACTTGAGTTGAAGTCGGAGCGGTGCTATCTCCAGAACCATTCAAAGGGCGATTTAGTTTTTATAAAGCTTTTAAAAGATATTTTATTTATTTTTATTTTTGTGTTTAAAATTTGGTTTTTCTTGATATAACGCTTCGAGTTTTCCGTTCATTTTTAATAAAAGAGTTTTAGGCTTTTAACACGTGTTTAATAAGTTTATTTCTACTTTAAAAAATAGTTTAACACGTGAGAACCACTCTCAGCCGAAATAGCGAGATTGAGGTCTCTCACATGTCTCTAAACAAGCTTTGCTCTTGAAAAGTAGATCCAAAAATATCCAGACTTGTTGAAGCTACATGCTTCAAACACTCTTTATATTTTAATGGAAGTCATGTAGATAAAATTTGCCACTTCTTACGGCTCTGTATCACTTTTGTTGTTCAAAAGAACATGCATTTGTCTAAATAAGTTTTAGTAATATTCTCTCTTTTACATTTTAATTTTAATAATAAATTAACTTGGGTAAAAAGTGATAGGTTTGGATGAGAGGTTTGGTTTCGCTGTTGGAGACCTCCCTGTTCGCTACCTGGGACTTCCTCTGCTTCCTCACAAGATGAGGCCGGCAGACTATCAACCATTGATTGACAGGGTTCGTCAGCAGATCTCGTCTTGGCTGGTTAGGCATCTCTCGTTTGCAGGACGGCTACAGCTGATCAAATCCGTTCTGTCGGGGATGGTAAATTTTTGGGCAGCAGTCTTCCCTCTTCCAAAGGCATGCTTACAGGAGGTCGAAAGATTATGCAGTGCTTTCCTTTTGTTTGGGGCTCCAAACTCTGCCCATGGCGTAAAGGTCTCATGGATTTCGGTTTGCACTCCCAAAGAGGAGAGAGGGCTTGGACTGAGGAACTTAGATGCTTGGAATAAGGTCTTCAGTCTTAAGCTTATTTGGCTTCTCTTTACTGGGAGTGGTTCTCTTTGGGTTTCGTGGATGCGCTCAAATTTATTTAGAGGGAGAAATTTATGGGACCTATCTGGGGGCTCTCATGGTAGCTGGATCTGGAAACAGCTTTTAAAGCTTCGGCCTTTAGCAAGGTCTTTTCTGTGCTGCAGTGTTGGCTCTGGTTCGATTGCTCATTTTTGGCTTGACGACTGGACCGATCTGGGACCGTTGATTGATCTTACTGGCCCAACTGGGCCGCAGGTTACAGGTATTCATCTTCAAGCCACTATCTCTCAAGCTATCGTTAATAATTCTTGACGTTTGCCTAGAGGTCGTCACCTTATCACAACTCTTTTGAAGTCTGTTATCCCTCCCATTTCGAACCTCTCGACGACAACATATACTTTCAAGTGGAGAAACTCTGCTAATGAGGTTCCACGTCTTTTCTCTGCTAAGAAAACTTGGGACTCTCTCCATCCTCATGTGATATAAGACTCGGTGTGAGAGACTTATATGATGTGGAAGTGATGGGATGATGGAGTCAATACGCTGGCTATGCCGCTCTCTCGTACGGACTAGTGGATGAAGAGTGGTAGAACAAGGCTTGTTAAACAAGTCTTGAGCCGATATGGGATCTATCAAGTTGGCTTTAACGCTCTCCCTTGAGGGATCAATGAATGGTGAAAGCAATGGGTCGATGGCACCACAAAAAGTATGGAAGGCTCTCTGATACAGCAAACACTTAGAACTTGGTGAATCCACACGCAAGAACAAGCAAGAACAAAGGCTAGCGGTGGCTAAGCTTTTGTGAAGAAAGTTCGGTCTCTTTATTGATGATGTAGGGTAACCAAAATATACAACGCTGCAGGGGAGCTTTATAAACAGCTCGTCAGCTAGCCCTAAGGCCGAAAATAAAAAGCAAAACGACATAACAAGAGAATACAAAAGAGCAAAACGCACAAAGGAAAAAATACATGAAAAAGGAAAGTTCACTTAAACTAAAAGAAATAAAACTAAGCCGACTTTCTTGATGCCTTAAGGGATCGAACTGGTGTTGCCTTGGCGTGTTGAAAGGCTTAAGAACCACTGAGGCAAGCCTCATTACCTGCACAAATCGTATAAACTGAAAATACCTGGTTTTGGCGCGCATGTACCTTGGTTGGCAAGTAGTGGTTTAGGTCCGGTCTTGGGCTGCATTGTTCGAGTTCCTTGAAGCTCTCATCTTCCTGATATCCTCTGAAGTCAAGTTGGGGTGGTTCCTCGAGAGTTCTTCCTGGTTCCTGGCTTAAAGTGTCTTCTAGCTCCATTGATGTCTTCTCGGTTCTTAGACTTGATCTGGTTGTATCTTGGCGCTCCGGTACGGCATTGGTGAGATTCTTGTTGTTTTGAGCTCCATTTCCTGTCAAGTAAATGGTCATACCTTGGTTTGTGGCCGGCGGATCCTCCTTGAAGCTCATTTTGGCAAAACCCTCCGATATGTCTTCTTCGGGTGCAATGGGGTACGGTTGAGGGCTTAGTAACGTTCCCACGTCCATATTGATCAGTAGTATCTCCACGGCCTCATTAAACCCTTCTCGCCATCTTCTGGTCTTGGAACGTGTCATTGGTGAACCGTTCACTGGTGGTACGACGTCTGGTTCTCACTCTTCTTGTTCCGGTACAAACGATTGGTCGATGCTCTCATCATCATGGCCCTCCCTTGCTGTGGACTAAGTCTGTCTGGTTCTCGGAAAAGGTTCCAAAACACGCTTTCATTCACTCGGTTATCGCTAGGGACAGACTACCCACTCGAGACAGACTTCAAAGTTGGGGATTGCAAGTGTCGGACCTCTGTCTCCTTTGTAGCACAGATACAGAGACTCGTGATCATCTCTTCTTCAGCTGCCCTTTCTCGGCGTCTGTTTGGAGATCCTTCTTCTCACATCCGTCTTTAAACCCGCCTCCATCTTACGATGATATTGTCACCTGGGTAAGAAATTACTCTCTTATACCTAAGGTAACAGTTATTAAGAAGCTCTTGCTCCATGCAGTGCTTTATGAGTTGTGGAAAGAAAGGAACTCAAGGCTACACAGTACGGTATCCAAGCAATCTGTGCAGGTTATCCGAGAGGTCCAAGCACTCATGCGGCAGAAATTGGCGGGTCTAGACAGACCGCTACAACATTCGCTCAACTATATCCCCCACGAAGCTTCCTACCTTTCCACCTGGTTCTGCTTTTTGATCTTTCTTTTATCGTCTTTCTCAAAAAAAAAAAAACTTGGGTAAAAACGTGGGGAAAGCCATATCACTTTCGATCGTTGGATTAAACCAATCAACAATGTCGAACATCAGGGAACTCTCCATGTGGCCACAGAAGTTGCCGTTGATAGTCATGTTATCATAAAGTGGCGTCGTATTGGGGAACAAGAAAACGTAGTCAACATCGTCCGGCTCGTCAGTTCTAACGGTTACGCTAGTTTTGAGACTCTTAAGAAGCTCACTAGGCTTTTGGGTGATAATTGTTGGTTTGTGTCTGATGTTTTGCTTCACCAACGACGATAAGAGATCAAATGAGGTGATAATGTAAGATACGTAAATTTCAAAAAATAATAATATAAAAATATTAAAAAAATATATACAAATAATATTATATTTTCAGTATTGTTAATATTTAGTATATTTACTATCCTATTGGATAATCTATTATTATTTTCTATATAACAATATATATATATATTGCTCGTAAAATTTTCGTAATCATATTTTATGCAATCTATTATTAATATATGTATAAAAAGTTGAAATCATAGTAATTATTATTTTCTGTTAATTTAATTTTATTAATGTTAGTGTTATAATCTAGTGTATTCATGTTTTAATTTCATAATTTATTCAATTTTATTCCAACCAATCAAAATATTTTAGTATATTTTAGGAAATTTGACACGTCACTTTTCCATATCAATAATAGAGAGCAGTAATTTTTGCGCTCCTTGTAACACATCAGATTTTTTCAAATAATACTTAAGATTTTAGTGTTATAATTTAGTATATTCATGTTTTAATTTTATAATTTATTTAATTTTAACTCAACTAATCAAAATATTTTGTTTATTAAATTTTCTGGTCAACAATAAAAAGCACTAATTTTTACTATCTTTGTGACACTAGGATTTTTTAAAATGGCTTGTTAAAGTTTTTTTATTCCTAAATTTCTTTTTATAGCTAATTGCCTACGGTCAGGTGAGATCATATGTGTGGCATTTTCCTGCTTATTAGAGTTTCTATGGTGCAAAATATCGAAACTTTGGCATCCTTTCATATAGATTAGTAGTGGCAAGACCTATACTATCATGGGAGAGATATCTAAGGCAGAGGGAAGCCTCGGTGAAGATTTGAAAAGCGCGCTTTTAACTCGCCATGGCGCAAAGGTGGTGTGGCGATGACTTCATCGCCATAGTCCTCTATGGCATGACAAGTCACATGAGGCGCTCGCTATCACCGCCTTTGTGCGCTAAATGCAAGCGCAATGCGAGGGCCATGGCGATTGCAATCAAAACGGAAATGTTTTGATCTAGTTAGGTGATAAACAGGATTTTAGCAAGCAATAATATCAAAGCCCAAAGCACAGTTTATGATGTAGTATAGTGGTAAGGGTGTCAATCCAGCCTAGGTTGATGAAAGTCACTAAGAATGCAAGAGCAATGTAAAGCTAAGCAGATTCAGGTAAATGGGTGAGAAATTCAATGAAAACTAAATGCAAGTACCAAATGACTATGAAAACTATTTTAAAAATCCCTCTGAAGGGTTAACAACTACTAGAAGAAGACTGAGAATTTAAAATGCAAAACTACTAAATACTAAAAATCGAGATCTAAAAACAGATAAACAGAGAATTTCTAACAACTTAGAGCAATGGTTTATAAAGACTAAAGATGCAAACTTTATGACTAAGAAATGACAAACTTGAGTTTTTAAATGCTAAAAGAGGATCCAAGGTTGAGGGTCATGTTTAAGAGGGTTCAAGATTCAAGATTTTGGTTTGAAAACAAAGATCTACTCATTTGATGAGCTATCTCTAAGCCTTGAGAAACTTAAGCTAGGATCATCCATGGCGTGTGGTATAACCCATTTCCTCGACCCTTCCTCCTAACCTATGGCGTGTAGTGGAAAGATGGGTCAAAGAACATTAAGCAAAGATCTCAAATATTGGCATAACTAGCTCCCTAAGCATCCATGGCATTTGGGAAAGGATGAGCTAGTCTCTTGGATTTGGCTTTAAGGGATTTCTGAATCCGGTCAAGGTAAGAAAAGCCTTGGGATCATAGATATCTTTCCCAAGACTCACTAAGCATTAAGACCCCAAATCCAAGAAGAGAAAAGATTAAGAACAAGAAAAAGACCAAAGCTTAAACCCTTAAACCCCTTAAATTGCCCCAACCTTAAACCCAAGGATGAACTACTCGCTACACATGATTAAAACCGATTGAAATGCAAAGAAAAGAAAGCTAAACATGATTAAGCAAGAGTGATTAAAGAAAATACTTAGGTTAAGCAAGATTAAGAGTTTACAAAACTAAGAAAGCTTGAAAAACAGCAACAATGGCGAAAAGCCTAAAAAAGCATAAGAAAATATCCAACTGGTCCAAAGCAAAATGAATTGTTCACGCCTATTTTCCTAAAATAGCCAAACAAAGAAAATGGTCCCCTCACTTCATGCCAAAAGTGAGCTGGCCGGATAAGGTGTAGAGATCGAGCTGAGTAGTCGATCTGATCACTCGATTTTCTTCATGGATCGTCCTCCTTTGCTCGATCTTCGGGTTGATTCTCGGATGATCGAGTCGTGGATCTCGATCTGGCTCTCGTTCTGCATGGCTTTAATCCACGTCCGTACTCACGATCGATCACCTCGATCGATCTTGGTCTCGATCCTTCTTCTTGAAATGGCTTGAGTAACTCGATCTTCTGGTCGATCTCTTATAGATCGACCTGTCAAGCTCGATATGTTCCTCGATCCCGATTCCTTTGCTGAATGGCTGGGTTCTTCCAAGTGTCCACAGGCTCCTCTTCGATCCTTAGCATGTCCACGCTACCTCCACAGCTCCAGTGTGTCCAAAACAACCTGAATATGATGCAAGAATGCAACAAATATGCAAATGCTAATGCAAAATGCACTTAGGACCTAAAATGAGACAAATGGTGCAAACTAGCCTAAAATGTAAGATGAATGCATGAAAAACTACTCTAAATGCATGCTGAATATGCGAAATATATGAGTATATCAACTCTCCCAAACTTGCTTTTTGCTTGCCCTCAAGCAAACAAAATTCAAGAAAGGAAGAGAGGTTTTAAAAATGGGGGCTCAAACTCGTTGACAAGTATTTTTCAAATGAATCAATTCATTGGTCCTAGTTGTTAATCCTAAGATGGAATGCACAAACTCATAGTCCAAAGAACTTAGCCATATTCATCACATATTGAATCTCAAATCATGACTCTCCTATTCCAAACAATCCAAGAATCCTAACCTTTAACATTCAATTAAGATTAAACCGTGAATCACACTTATGCATTTTAAAACCGAATACATTTGGCTTAGGGACAAGGGTTATGAGATAAAAATAATCTCATTTAAGTGGGTATATCAAGCAATGGGTTATCTCAAAAAGGAATGAACTTATGCATAATGCTAAAGGTAAAGGTAATTGATGCATACATGACTAGACTCTCATCTACCCATACACACTAACAATGATCCTAAAACCCTCTCTCATTTTTTTTCTTCCTTTTTAAAACTCATTCACCCTCCTAAAGACTACCCATAAAGAACAAGGCAAGACGCCAAGCATTACCCAAATAAACACATCATATTAAAATCCTTTTAGCTAGTGGTAAGGCCTTAAACATACTTAGCTCTTTTCAATACTTTGATAGCTCTCTTCTCTTATATTTTTTTTCTTTTTTTTTTACTTGGCCTTTTGGCTCTTTTATTAATCTCCCCTTTTTTTTTTCTTTTTCTTTTCTATTTGAGAGCTATCTTCTTTTCAAACATGAGCTTTCATTTTAAAACAAGGCCTACCACTTAAAACCATATATCCCCTTTAGTTCAAACCCCAAACATCAAACTCTTTTCAAACCGCAAACAAAAACAAAACAACTCCCATGAATCCCCGCCCCCAAAATTAGCCTAAAACTAGCTTCAAAATTCAAAGCTAGCAATCATATGAGAGCCTAATCATGTCGCCTAAACCTAACAATTTATGCCAAGTTCAAACCAAAAATAAGGCCTCACAATGATGTCACACAAGAAATTGGCTTGAAAGGAGGGTAAGGATCAATGTGAGGAGTTCTATTCAGGCTTACAAGAGAGTGGTGAAAGGGATAAGAAAGCCTAAATATGTATAAGTGATCCATGTATCCTTTTTCAAATGCATAAGTATGATAGTTAAAAATTCAAGTTAAGGTTCTCACTTGGTAGGAAAGGATTCAATTCATGAATGTTCAACATAAGCCACGAAAATAAAAACAAATGATCCAAATATGGTTAGAGCTTACTTTCAAAGTCTGAATAATGCATCAAAGAACTACTAACTAGGGCCTTGAAACAATTCATGAGCTTAAAACACTTTTCAAGAAAAACTTTTGCCCCCTTATGCAAACCTAAATGCTTAAAATTCTAGACTCAATCCTAAAATGTTTAACAATGCAAATGAAAGCTACATGAATTTTTTTGAAAATTTTTAAAATTTTTATGAACATTTTGTATTTTTCTATGCCTTAGATGATGCATGATGACTCAAGTATGATAACTCAAAATAAGATCCAAAATAAACATGTCAAATAACACACACTCGCCCCCAAACTTGAATGACACCGTCTTGGTGGCAAACAAATTCAAGAGGAGACAAAACACAAAGCAAAAATGAAAAAGATGCATGTTATTTACAAGGTTGTGTGTGGTACCTCGAAGCTAGGCACGGCTAGAGCTTGAGGATGCTCCAGACTTCCTGCTCTTTCTAGGAGTGTCATGAGAGATGCCTTTGCCCTTCTCCTTGCTCGTGCCTTCATGGAGAGAAAGCCCAGCAGCTTTGTTGCTTCCTTGAGGCTCACGGATCTCTATACCACCGGTGGATCTTCTTCTCTTCTCTGATTGCTCAACCTCCTCACTTGAAGATGCATCAGATGAGCTTCCTTGTAGATCCTTGATCTTCTTAGCAAGCTTCTTG